TTTAATTTATAATTTAATAAAAATATAATTAATATTTACCTGTGTTAAATCATTATAAAATTTAGCACCTTCATTTAAGTTACCTTTCAATTCTTTAAATGCATCATAAGCAGCTGCTAGTTTACATAACATTGTTTCTCTTGAACTACCACTACCAGATTGTTCAGCTGTAAATTCTGCATGACACTTCTAAAATTTTGAAGTTAAAATATAAGATATTAATATATTTGTGAAATATTTTTGTAGCAGATTTTGGAGATCGAACACAAAAATATTGATTAGGACTTAATAAACAAATTATGAGCAATTTAATTTTTTTTTTAAATAAAAATGAAGATAAAAACAATGTAATAAAATCAAAATACTTTATTTCATTTTATTTTCATTTCGTTTGGTCTAAAATCAATCGAATCTTAATCGAATTTTTTATATTATCGATATTATTATATTAAAAACTTTGGTCTCTAAAATCAATCTATTAAGTAATGATAAATCAATTACTTAATAGATAAATCTCAATCAAAACTTTTATATTATCAATATTATTATATTAAAGACTAAAAATCTTTGGCTTCTAGAATCCATTCTGCAAAACTATCGCAAGAATATATATCTTCTATGTAGTTAATATAAAATGAATATTACCTGAATTTCAGCAATCAATTGTTCTTGATGAGAAACACTATCTCTCACTTGTTTTTGTAAAGGTCCATATGTTTTTCCTATATTTTCTATTGATAAATTTGGTTCATCAATCCCACCATCTTTTGCAAGTGCTGACAAAAATGTTGTTTTCATATCAGTAGTAGCAGATTTTAATTCACTTTCTATAGCATCACGTTCTGTTTTGATTGTTTCAACCTTGGAAAAAAATCAATATTGATACAAATAATTTAAGAAAATGATTAAAAACAATATTATATATAAAATACATACATCTTCCATTAACTTTCTAAGTTGAATAACAGTATTACTTTCCTGAACTGCTGATCCAGTTGGTACAGCATTAATTAAATCATTTTCATTTAAACTCAAAATTTCCATACCTTCTTTATGATTTTCATATTTCTCACGTACAACCTTCAAAATATAATTATAATTATTTAATTATTTTAAATCAATATATAATATATCAATATATACAATTACGAATATATTATTAATGAAAAAAAATATACATATTTATACCTTATCAGCTGCCACAGCATTATTAATAATTTCACGATATTTTCGAAGAGTAATATTAAATTGTTCTGTTAAACGACTACTAGGAATTCTTGTCCATCGATCTTTAAATTGTTCTCTTAATTGATCATCAGATTCGCGCTCTTCTTGAAGCATTCGTTCACACTAAAAAAAATAAAAAATTTAATAATTTACATGAAAAGAAATTTGAAAATTTTTTTACCTCATCTAAAAGTTCTTTATTTCTTTGTAATAAATCAGGTAATTCTTTCATAGAAGTTTCCAATGCATTAATTCCACCTATTTCTTTTACATGTTGAGCTTTTTCTAATACAGATTGAGGTAAATCAGTTCCACTTGTATCTTCAATAGCTGCTGGTAAATTTAAACTTGCTAATACACTAAAAATATAATTGAATATGAATTATAAATTTAACATTTAATAAATTAAATATTATATATTATAGTAACATATAATAATATAATTATATAATTATATAATATAATTATTAATAATCATATAATTATATAATATAAAAATTATATAATATAATTATTAATAATAATATAATTAT